GTGGGTAGCGGGGTGGGTCGCGGGTGGGTCGCGGGCGGGTCGCTGGTGGGTGGCGGGGTGGATCGCGGGTGGGTCGCGGGTTGGGTCGCGGGTGGGTCGCGGGGTGGGTCGCGGGGTGGGTCGGTCCCTGGATGGGTTGTGGGGTGGGTCTGGGTCGCGGGTGTGTCGCGGAAGGACGACGACAACAAACAAGCAATAACGCAACATGCAGAATCCTCACCACGGATCCCCACTTCAGCCACGCACCTAGGGACAATGAATGACCATTAGGCCCCCCTCACTCTGATGCTTGTATATCTATACATATGTCTGTCTGTCTGTCTGTCTGTCTGTCTGTCTGTCTGTCTGTCTGTCTGTCTGTCTGTCTGTCTGTCTGTCTGTCTGTCTGTCTGTCTGTCTGTCTGTCTGTCTGTGTGTATGTGCGTACGTGTGTATGTATGCATGCATGCATGCATGCATGCATGTATGTATGTATGTATGTTTGTATGTTTGTATGCATGCATCCATGCATGCACGCATGTATGTATGTATGTATGTTTGTATGTATGTATGTGTGTATGTATGTATGTCTGTATGTACGTATGCATGCATGTAGGTTTCGACGCTTGTATACTTGTGTGCATGTTTGCATGCATGCATGTATGTATGTACGTATATATGTACACAATTCTATACATATAAATATTTGTATAATGTGTATACACTGGTACACGCACACACAATCACACACACACACACACACTATATATATATGCATATACGCACCCCAACGCCCATTCGTTTTGCACTGGTCTTTGAACTCTCAATTCGTACTCTTACTGGTCCTCCGCCTTCTTTCCAACCGTGCCTGCTGGTCCACCTTTCCCATGCGTCATTTACCCGCTGTTGTCCCGTGCTGGAGTCTAATTGGAATCAGCTGGCTTTTGTGATCTGCCTAATTCGAATTGGACTCATATTAGATCTTCGTCAGACTCCATTTGGCACATCTGGACTTGGGAACTGGTCAATGCCATTGATATTCGAATCCTATTCAAAGAGGGCTCAAACTTATAATCAACTTGATATGGGATCTGCTCAGTCCCAAGTAGATTTATCATGTATTCCAATCGGGATCCGATTGTAATCAGCTGTGCCTGTGCTCTGTCCAATAGGAACTCAACTGGAAACAACTGCATCTGGAATCTGCACCATCCCACTTATATTCCAATCCGATTCCTCTAGGAATCACATTGTAAGCAGCTCGATCTGCTTCAACTTCAATATGAAGTGATTTGGCGTCAACTGGACCTGAGGCCTGCGCACTTCCAATTCGACTCTGTTTCGATTCCAATCGGAATCCCACTTGGACTCAGCTGGACCGGGAATATGCCCAATTCCACTTGAATTCGATCCCGATAGCAATCACACTCACATCAGCTGGATATCTGCTCCATATCAGTTCGATTTTAAGCCTACCCCAATGTTAAGCCCACCCCAGTTCAGATCAAATATCCACTTACAGTCAACCAGTATAGTAAGGACGCACGATAAGGATGCAAGGGCCTTGGACGCCCATTTCGAAGCTTTTCGAGCGGGGCGCGGCCAGCGAAAGCGGCGAAGGATGGACCGAGGAGGCAAGGATGCAAGGGTACCCTTTGGAAGGTTGTCCATCCTTACTATACTGGTTGACTGTAGCTTCTAACTCGATCGCAGTAGAAATCGACTGCGGAATCAGCTAGATCTGGGACCTGCTCAATTCTAGTTACAATCTGTTTAGATTTCGATCGGAATCTATTTGTAATTGTATCTGGGATCTGCACCGTTTGAATTGGACTCTGAGCAGATTCCCATGGGAATCCATTCTGAATCAGCTGTGCCTGGGGCCTGCTCAATTTCCAGGTTCATTTGGCCTCAATCGGAATCTAATTGGAATCAATTGAAGATGGGTTCTGCTCCATCCCACTGAGATCTCACTTGTACTCCAATAGGAAGTCGATGTGCAATCAGCTAGATATGGAATCTGCCTCTCTCTCTGTCCCTCTCTCTGTCCATCTCTCTGTGTCTCTCTCTCTCTCTCTCTCTCTCTCCCACGCGCCCAGCACAATCCTAGTGAACACACCATGTTTGCGATGCCAGGGGTATGGAACACTTGCGTTTTCATTTGGATGTTTTAGATTTCTGGGATGAGAGTTGAGGACGCCATACTACATGTAGATGTGTACGTACACACACACACATATATATATATATATATATGCATACGTGCATACATACATACGCGTGTCTGTATACAAGTATTTGCATGTGTATATATATACGCACATGTGATACTGGAGGCTCCCCCCCCACGGAAATCCGACACAAGAGCTCGCCCACGAACTCCAATCCCCAGAATCAGAAACATCGAACCGTCCAAACGAAACCACATGCCTTCCTCAATTCACATCTCGGAAATCAAAACATTCAAGTGACCATACAAGGTGTGCGATATCAGGGATGCGGCAACCAATGATTTCATGTGAATTTTAGGGGTTTCGGGGATGGGAAACGAGGAATCAATGTTTGGTAGTGTGTGTGTGTGTGATTTGTGATTCTGCGAACAGGGGCTCCTGAGCAGGCTCCTGGGATGAATTTTCGCTGGAGGCGCGTTTCTTCTTCAAAGCAAACATCAGAAGCCATCCACATGACAACACATGTTTCCTCACACCTCATCCCAGAAATCCGAACCATCCAACTGAAAAACAGGGTTTCCGTACTCGTGACATCGCAAACCTTTGGTTTTCATTTGGATGTTTGGGATGTCTGGGGCGAGAAATGAGGAAGCCATGCGTTTCCATGTTTTGTTTCGTTTACTTTTTGGATTCTGGGGGTAAACATGGCTTCCTCTCTTCCCATCCCAGTTTCTTAAACATCCAATTGAGACCACAAGGGTTGCGAACCCCTGGCATCGCAGACCTGGTGTTTTCACAAGGATTGTGCTGGGTGCTTGGGAGAGAGAGGGGGAGATAGAGGGCGAGCGAGAAAGAAAGTGGGATAGAAAGAGAGAGAGAGAGGGACAGAGGCAGAGATAGAGAGAGAGAGAGGGATACGGAGAGAGAGGGACAGAGAGAGAGAGAGAGGCTGATTCCAGATCCAGCTGATCCCTGCGATTTGACACGGAGGAGGCAGAGAGAGAGGGAGAGAGAGAGAGAGAGAGAGAGAGAAAGAGAGAGAGAGAGAGAGAGAGAAAGAGAGAGAGAGAGAGAGAGAGAGAGAGAGAGACAGCGAGAGAGAGAGAGAGAAACAACAAGAGAAAATCAGAGAGAGAGAGAGAGAGAGAAAGAGAAAGAGATAGAGAGAGAGGGGGAGAGAAGGAACGATATATAGAGAGAGAGAGACAAATCATAAGAGAGTAATACACACATATATATAGAGAGAGAGGAAGAAAGACAGGGATATAGAGAGAGAGAGAGAGAGACAGAGAGACAGAGAGAGAGAGAGACAGAGAGAGAGAGAGAGCGACAAAGAGAGAGAGAGAGAGAGCGAAATTACGACGAGGAGGAGACATTCAAGAGCACAACCGTCGTAAGTGAATGCTGGTAAGAATGGGTGCTGGGCGGAGCTGTCCATATATTTACATGTGCACGTACATATACACATCTAGATATGTCTCTCTCTCTAGACATACATATAGAGGTAGATGACGTGTATATCTAGATACGTGTATACATGATGTATACAAACCTTGTATATTTGAACCGGTATATATATATAGATATAGATGTTCTAGCCTCTCCTTCCCACACACCTCCTCGTCCTCCTCCTCCTCGTGCTCCGAACGTGCCCAGAGGGCTACAAGCAGCAGCGCTGGACCGATCCTCAAGCGGCTGAGCTTCAACTCGGAGGAGAAAGAGCTTGAACGGCGAGGGAGAGTGAGGCAAGGCAACGAGGTCGGGGCCCTCAGCCAATGGGGCCGTCGGGGCACAGCTCGTGCAGCATCGCGCTCTGCGCCTGCATGGACAAACGTATGCCGATCGGGCCCTCGCCGGGCCCGGGCTTCTGTTGCGCAGCGCCGTCGCCGTAGCAGGGCGCGCCGAAGCTGTCGAATGGTGGCACGTGGGCAAGCGAGGCCGCGGCGTCGGGGCCGAGCCAATAGCCCAGCCCGTCGGGATTTGCCGCCGCGTGGGGCGCGGGCACGTTCCGCCGCACCTCACAGGCGGCGAGCGTATCCATGCCCACGCCCTCGCGGCCTGGATTCTGGGGCGCGATGCCGTGGATCCGCGGTCGCATGGATGCACTCCGCGCGGGGCACCCGCCAGAGAGCGCCCCGCATACACGGGGGGCGCGGCCCAGGGGTCCGGCCTGCGAGGGCGTGGATGCGGATGTGCTGTCCGCCCACGAGTATCGGAGCAGGGCGAATAGCTCCATATCGGTCCCAGGACCCCTCTTGGGGTTCACACCCACACACACACCAGTTTCCGGAGCTGCGTCCGGCCGTGGCGAATGCCAACCGCCGTTGTCTCAGCTCGCCCTCCCCTGAGAGCACCGCCATGCCGCGGCCCTGCGCGTAGAACGGGCTGTGGACTCTCTCCACGTGCGCGCGGCCACTGGGGAGCCGTGCGTGGCCGTCGCCGCCGCGGCCGCCGCGCCTCCTGCCAGCTCCGTGCGGCTGCTGCGCGGGCAGGTCCTGCAGCAGCGCGTCCAGCGAGTCCTGGGCCTCCCCCGGCCCGAGCCATGGCTCGGCGGCGGCGGGGCCCGGCAGGGCCTCGCCCGCCACGGCGCGGCCCCAGGAGTCCTGTGACTGGTACTCGGCGTGGGCGGCCGCGTGGGCGTCTGCGTAGCGGCCCGCATCCGCGGCCCCCGCCGCCGCGGCGCGGGAGCTGGAGCCGCGCGGCCTCCTGGCCTCGGAGCCGTGGCGTGCCGCGGGCGCCCCCGAGGTGGGCGCGCCGCCGCCGGCCTCGCCCGGCCGCGGGCTGCGGCCCGGCTCACCGCCCTGCGAGGGCTCACGCTGGCTGGCGCCAGCGCCAGGCGCGCGAGGCGACCCCGGCGCGCCTCGCTTCGGCGTGCGCTGGCCGTCGCCTCGCCGGCCGTGCCGCCCCGAGCGGCCCCCGCCGCCCATGTCGGGGCCGCCGCTGCCCGCAGCGGGGAGCCCATGGCCCGCGAGCGCGCCGCTCTCCTGCGGCTCGAGCCTGGCCATGATCTCCTGCGCCTGCCGCAGCAGGGACCCCAGCTGCCTCCGCAGCTCTTCCCGCGACTCCTCGGGCGCGCCGCGCCGCTCCGGCACTCCGGCGCTGACGCGCGGGGGCGAGGAGTGCTCCGGGATCCTCGGCGGGTGCGGGCTGCGAGAGGCGTTTCGGGCGGGCTCGCGATCGTCGGCGCGGTCCCGCCCAGAGCGGGTGCGCTTGGAGCGGGTCCCCGTCCCTGGAGGCTCGGCGCCCCACGGCTCTCGCCCCGCGCCGTCGCCGCCCGGCGGGCCAGCCTCGTCGATGCTCCGGCGGGCGGCGGGCCACTGCCCGCTGTAGCTGTCCTCCTCGGCGAAGCCGTCCCGCGCGCGCTCGCGCTCTCGGCGCGTGCTCCTGTGCCGTCGCGCCCTGGACTTGCGCATCGACTCCTGTGGGCGGCCCTCGCGCGCCGCTGTGAGGGTGTCCTGCTCAGGCCGCAGATTCTCCGACAGCCACTTCGTGGGCGAGCTCGTGTCGCGCGTGCCTGGCCCCTCCAGCGTCTGCAGGGGAAGGCTGAAACTGTCGTCGCCCGGGTCGTGCCACGTCCTCTTCGGCTCGCCCTCGCGGGGAAACCATGAGATACCGATACCGCCTCTCCCTGGACCTCTCCCGGGGCGCGCTCCGACCATAATTTTTCGAGGCGATCCCAGCCGTGGCGACGAGGGACCCCCAGGGGGCCCCAAAAGACGAAGACGATGGAAAGGTAGCGGTACTGGTAACCGTCTTAGGTCGGGCATGTCCTCGTACAGGCGGATGTTGGAAGAAAAATGGGGCCACTCGCCAAACATTACTCAAACGTAGTCCAATGATAACCGAAACATCGTCACCATACTATTTTTGACTACTCTTGAGTATTCGCCCGACTTGGTACCCGGTAGCCCTTTCCTCCTCTGACCTCGGCCCCGCGCCACGTGCTCTGTGTCCTGCGGCGGCGCCGGCGGCGCGCGGACGCGCGCTGGTCCAGCTGCGGGGAGCCCCACTGGTCGTTGCTGCTCTCCTGAGGGGCAGGCTCCAGGGGGGACCAGCTCCAGGGGCTAAGCTTCCTCCTCATCCTCCTCCTCCTCTTCCTGGGTCAGCGGCGCCTCCTGGAAGCACCGACCTGGAATCAGCAATACTTCGGCGATAGGCCCCCGATCGCAAACCCGCCCGGTCATGGACGGGTCGGGGGTATCGGGCCCGTATCGGCGATCAATCGGCGATCTGGGGCCGATGCATCGATCCCTAGCCCCCCCCCCACGTCACCCCTGGGCTTTCGGGCCATAACTCGGCTCTCCTGCGGCCGTTCGGCATGATCCAGGCACTCCGAGGAACGCCCTCGGCGATCCGCATCTGCTGGGTCGCACCCCGAGGCCGACAGACCGCCGAGAGCCGACGGAGCCGCCCGAGAACCTCGAACCTGGAGCCTGTCCTCCCCTCATCGGCTGCACGTCAGCGTGATCCCGGGCGGGAGTGCCCTTTTTGGGGGCGGCGTGGGTGGCAAAGCCAAGCGCGCAGGCCGCTTCGGGCCTCGGTGCTGGGGTGGTCCCATCTGGCAAGGCTCGACCTGAGCAGCGCTTTCCGCTTTCGTGTTGTCTTCGTTGTCCCTCGTCCTGTCTTCGCCTCGCCTGCGCCTCGAAACGAAAGCGCAGCGAACACGGCCCACGAAATCGCCCAAACACCGTTTGGGTCGAGCCCTACCCTCTTGGCCCGCACCGAAGGTCACCATGGCGGAGCCTCACCCCCTACGCGTCGTCGAACCGACGTTGCCCCTGCTCTCCACGGTGCTCTGGAAGCCCCGCGTGGTCGCCTTGCTGCCCCCGCCGCGGCGCCGGCGGGTGCCGCTGGGCGCCGCGAGGGTGGCCTCGTGCGCCGCGGCGCCAGGCGGCCGATCTGCCCGGGCGGCCTCGGGGCCGCCGGGGTCGGGGCCCTTCGTGGGAGGGGAGGCCAACACTGCAGATCTGAGAGTCGCATCCTCGTGATTCGCAGACGGGCGTTCGCGCCTGGTGTCGAGCCCCGGGGCCATCACGCATCGGTCCGGCTCGAGAGATGACGCAGGAAGACGGGGCTTAGGGCTCAGTCGTGAATCTTCGCGAGGCTGCAACTCTTCCGCCACCTCGGATCTCAGGGCCCTTGCGGGACGGAGGCGAGCTGAGACAAAGGCGAGCGTATCCATAGCCACGCTCGGGGACGCACCAAATCAGCCAAAACCCGTGTCGGCCAGGGCCCTGTCTCGAAGCCGGGCAGGCTGCTTCGGAACTCCCAAACCAGGGGCAGACGAGGGCGGGAAAAGGGAATCGGCCCCACGTGGCTCCCAACCCCAGGTCAGCCAGATGGGATTGGCTGACACCCGTTAGCGGTTGGGTCGGGCATGTCCTCCTACAGGCGGATTCTGGGAGAAAAGTGAAAAGTAGTCGAAGCGTGTAACAAAAATTAGACAAACATCGTCCCCCGACTACTCTTTAACTATCTTTGAAAACTCCTCCTGCAGGGGGGACACGCCCGACGGAAGAACCGTCAGCGCTGACCCCCGCTGCGGGAGCCCCGACACGCCTTCGCTGTCTGGACTCCGCGGCGCGATCCCGCGGATGCGGGGGCCGCGTGGACATGCTCGGCGCGGGGCGCCCGCGCACCGCCGGCCCCGCATCCGCGGGGGGGCGCGCGGCCGAGGGGCCCCGCCCGCGAGGCCGTGGATCCGGAGGTGCTTCCCGCCCACGGGCAGTATAGGGGCCCGACCAGGAGAAGCCTCCCACGAGGTTCTGCCTGCGTCCGCGCGTGGTTCTTCTTCCGTATGGCCAGCGGTGATGCGTAGTGTCGGCGCGTGCCTTTGCATCGCTTTTGTGTGTACATGCTTGTGGCTCCTATTCGTAATCTTGATGGTGCTCCATATTATCATTTGCATCATTATCATTCTTACGATTGGCGCTCTTATTACAGTGGGGGCCCGACCACCAGAAGCCTCCCACAAGAATCCCAACCCTGGGACCCCAGGACGTCCATTGATTATTGGTGCGGGAACGTCACGCTTTCCGTAGCAGAACCATCGAAACCCAAGAAACCCAAGGGCACCCCGGAGGCAAGCAGGGTGCGTCCTGGCATGGGTCTTCACTGCATCGGAGCAGGGCGACTCGAGGCGACGGCAACTCGAGATCGGTCCCCGTCGGCTACACGCAAGAGCGACCCTTGGGTGAGAGTGACCTTTGGTGCGCGGCTTTCTTGGGGCCGCGGAGGGGCCAAGCACGAGCGCGCACGGCGCTGCCATCGAACCGCGCTGGGCGACCGGGGGGCATCGGTGGGCCCGCAGAAAAGGTCACTCCGGTGAAGGGTCACTCTTACGTGTAGTCTACCCCGGGCCCCTGTGATGTTCCTGGGGCCTGAACACCAGCGTCAGACGCCCAATTTGAAAAAGGCGCAACGCCCAGATCTCAAGAACTGCCGTTGCCTCAGCTGGCCAGGTACCGTTGTCTCAGCTCGGAGGGGAAGAACACGGGGACCATGACAAGCGCTGAACGCGGAAACTTCGTGTCGATCTTGGTCACCGTCCATCGTGGTCAGCGTCAATTCGTGGATCATCCTCGCGAGTCGGTGACGGCAAGCATGGACCACAACCATGATCGGCGTCGACAAGATCCCGCGACTTTTGGCCATGGCCATTGCTGTGGCAACTCATGGGGGCATCCCATGCGAATCGACGCTGGCTGACGCTAATCGACGCTGGCCGACAATGCATCGATTTCACTAGACGCTAAACAAGCGCTTTTCGTCGTCGAGTGCCAGGCGCGAATTGTAGTGCACGCGACGGCATCGCGAGGCCATGCAACGCTCCCACGAGACTCTGCCCCTCCCCCCAGCAACCGGCCCTCGCTGGGACCTTGGGCGCCAGCGCCGCGCGCTCGCGCTCGTACCTCAGCTCGAGCTCCCGGCGCTCCCGGGCGACCCGCTGCTCCTCCTCGGCGTCCTCGCGCGCGCGCCTCTCGCGCTCGGCCTCGCGGTGCAGCCGCTGCTCCTCTGAGCATCGCGTAAACGGATCCCTTCTCCCAGGGGCAGCTGAATGCGCGCTTCGCGAACATCTTCGCGCTCTCGCGCCGCGGGAGAACAAGGAGGACGAAGAGAACGAGGATGAGGAATCGCGAGCCGCGAGCCGCGAACAGCTTCGCGCACTGGTTGCGGCCCTTGCCCCTACTGGCATGGCCTTAGCCCCACTGGCCGACTGCCCCCCCAGGTGGATATATATATATATATATATATACACACAAGACTGCAGTGGCGCTTCGCGCGATGCAGCTTGGTCCTTGAAGATTGGTATGCAGGCGGAAATGGCAGGAAGGTCAAAAGGACAATTTTGCCATAACTCCTTGCTGCCTTTTCTGGCATCGCCGTTTTAAGAATGTTGTTCGTTATCCCTCCTCCATGCTTATTTTCCTCATTCTCGCCATACCCTGGGAACTCTCCCCATCTTTTTCAGCTCTTTTTGCGGAGGCTCCTCCTTGGAGAGTCTCTGGGGGCCTCACCAAAGTTTTCAGGCTTTCTTAAAGCCTTCTGGAGGCCTCCTGGGCGTGTTCTGGGGGCCTCTGGGGCTTCCTAAGGCCAACCTGCCTCTAACCGCAGTCTCCCTGAACGCCACGGTCACGATTTGGAATGCTTCGGAGGGTGTCTTGGGGCCATCTTGGGCCGCCATGGGGCTCTCTTAGGGCCATTTTGGACCCCTGTTGTGCCTTTCTGGGGCTCTCTTGGACTGCCTGGAAGCCCTTTCGGATGGTTGCGGGGCGATTTTGGAGCCTCCCAGGCGACTTCGGACGCCCAGAAGACCGCTGTCTTGGAGCGTCGGGAAGCCGAAAAGAGGAGAACCCGAAATTCACCAAAAACCTACACTACATCGATGATTATTCCCTGTTGGGGCCTTCTTGGGGGTGCTCTTGGAGGCCTCTTGGTACGTTTTGGAGCGATCTTTCGGGGTATGACGGCTTCTTGGAGCGCTCTTGTGCTGTCTTGGGGTTCTCTGGGACGTCGCCGATGACCGCCCTAATCGTCCTAGGTGTGCTGCGAAGGCTTGGCAAAACGCCCTGCGAGGCCCGGGGGGCCGCTTCGAGGCCCGTTCGAAGGGTCCCAAAACCCCAGATCCCGGGAGTCCAGTTTATTTTTTGGGGGACGGGTTTTCCCCCCGCCCGGGCTTGCAAACATATATGAAGAGAAATATGTATTTGTATTTATACACATGCGCCTATATATACATATATATATATACATATGTACACATTCCACCTGGGATATATATATATGTATATATATAAGCATGCTTGTGTGTATGTATATATATATATATTCATAGAGATCACACACACATATATGTATATATATATAAGCATACAGTCATGCTGCTCCCTTCGGACTTCGTGGGGCCTATCCCCGCCCGAGAAGGTGGGGAGGCCAAGTGGGGCTGAGATGCCGTGGCCCCATGGGGATGGGGATGGGCTGCGGTTGGCGTTGGGAAAAGTCTCGTGCGATGTGGCGCCGGCGGCCTGCCTGTGACACGCTGTCTGCCCTGGGGATGGCCTGCACCGAAGAATCCCTGGCAGGGGGATGGCGTGCCTCGCAGAGGTCCGCGCGGGGGCGTCGCCTCACGAGGATAGCGTGCTCTTCGGAGACTCGAGGCTGCACGCTGCCCTCGGCAACGCCAACCGTAGACGGTGCTGATCCTCGATCTGGTTGGCCAGCATCTGCGCCTGCCGCCGCCTGCGCTCCCGCTCCCGCTCGGCGGCGTTCTGCTCCTCCGGGGGGGCAGGGGAAAGACTGCACAAACATCCGCGCCCGTGCCCTGTGCACGTTGAGGTGTGGAAGGATGCCAAGTGCTATCTGGCAGGGTTTCTAAACTCTTCTACGGAGGGACCCCCCCGCTCTCATCGCACCCCCTCGCGTGCACCACTCCTACTCCTGGGAACTAGTTTATCCTGCCTGGTTGGCCCCTCCGACCCGTGCCCTCTCTGAGCCTAATCCCTCTCCGCTGGCGTTGTGGCTCGAGGGCGCCCTTGAGTCCTGGTAGAAGGCTACCAGGCCCGACGCAACAGGCAGTGTCATCGGTGCTTCCAGAGCACCACTGTCTCATCGCCCACCAGGGGCGGCCACACTGGTGACATGGAGATTGCAGATATTTTGGACATGGGGGCTGTGTTGGACAAAAATGGTCATTGCGGTTGGCAACGATGTCACGACATCGAGGCTGCTCGCCTACGCCGACAATCTAGTTGGTAGTGGAGCCAGTCTGGCTTCACGGACCTGTGCGTCATGACGACAGAGAATGAGAATCATGAAAGTGTTCCTTCTTGGGATGGCGACGTTGCTGGCTTTGATTCGTACGTGATGAGAGTGAAGCTGTGCGTGCGCGGCACCAGGGAGGACGAGAAGGTCTTGTGCGGCCACAGGCTGATGTCTAAGCTACAGGGTCGCGCATGGCAGGATTTCAGAAGTATGACAAGCAAGTCTTTGGACGACGTGGAGGAAGACCCGACGACCACGTTGCCGAAGGGTGTCAGCCAGCTGCTCAAGTACCTAAAGGAGAAGAGTGGCATCCTGGAGGTAGAGGACGCTGCTGAGTGCATGAGGACACTCATGAAGGAGGCGAACCGCAAGCCGAAAACAGCAGTTCGACAAGAAGCATGAGCGCGACCGAGGCCACAGGCTGACCCACAAGCGCTGACAACCACGGCAGCGCAACTACATGGCCGAGGGCGAAGATGACGATCACTCAGAACATGATGACGATGAAGACCGAGGTGATGATGGATTGCATGACCCTCTTCCTGAGATCGCGTCAGCTCCGGCGGCAGTCGAAGACGACGACATCGGCGCTCAGCTCCAGGAGATTTGCGACCAGGCAGGCGACGACCAGGGGTTGAAGCAGGAGTTGCTCGAAGGCGTAATTTTCGAAGCAGCTCTGCAAAGTCAACGTTCATTCAAGCAGACCAGTGGGCTCTTCTACACCAGAAGAAGGCGAATCGCAAGTTCTTGACTCGAAGGAACCCTGGGCGACACCGGGCGACGGGGGCTGGTTCGCAAGCTTCGACCAGGAGGAGGAGGAGGAGGAGGAGGAGGAGGAGGAGGAGGAGGAGGAGGAGGAGGAGGAGGAGGAGCAGGAGGAGCCAAGCGTGGGGCAGGAGGAGGAGGATGAGAAGGAGGAGGATGAGGAGGAGGAGGCGGGAGGAGGAGGAGGAGAAGTAGGAGGTGGGAGGAGGAGGTGGGAGGAGGAGGAGTAGGATGAGGAGGAGGAGGAGGAGGAGGGGGCTGGTTCGCAAGCTTCGTCGAGAGGCCCTCCGAGTTCCGCCGGCAGCCACGGCCACGACAAGGACGCGCGGAAGACGGGCCCGAGCACGATGTGCCCGAGGAGCGGCGGATTCGGACACACTTCCAGGGATCGCAAGGCATCTGCTGAGCTCCAGCACGGGCGCAGGTACAAGTATCCAACATCGTGGTCCCGACGAAAACAAGCTACAGCGAGCAAGACATGATCCGCAAGGACCCGAGTACGAACTGCGGCGATGAGACCACGATCTGCGAGGATACGAGTACGATCTACAGCGAACAGGATTCGCATTATAGAGACGACAACCCCACATACGACGACTCCAAGACCGAAAATACTGCGCACAGGGGTTAACAGGCGAGAAATCAGAAATGCCGTAGTGGTGTACGAACAATATTTTCATCGTTTCCCAGCTCCCCGGGACGTTTACGGCTATCCTGGAATCTGGGGCCACATCTTCTCTGATAGGTTTAAAGATGGCACGGCAATGGCAGATTACTATGTACAAGATGTTAGGTAACAGCCGTCTGAGGCTAGTGAATGGAGCGCTGATCGAGATCACTTTCGGGAAGAACCAGAGGACCGAGTCGTTGAGCCATGCCCTGCTCCCAGGTCTGTAAACCAAAACGAATGCGATTTCCCAGTTTCGGTGGTGGACGAGGAAGCTCCCTTGCTTATAGGCATGGACTTCTTAAGGCAGTTCGGGGTCATCGTGGATTTTGAGTTGGATATGATACGATTTAAGTCCTTGAGCGACAAGGTTTACTTGCTCGAGAGGTCCAGATGCGGTTATCTTCTGTTAGATTTCGGGCCATAGGCTGAATGGAGAGAAGTTGTTCAAACACGGACTTCGGTCCATCCATGCACGAGCTTGGTAGTTCCTTGGGCTCAACACGACGACTCCATGTATTATTCTTAGTTCCAGCCAGCTTCGAGCCGACACCTTCAGCAACATCCACGTTCGAACGCCACCATGGCCTGAAAGAGATTTGTCTGGCTTTTGACCACCGCCACCTGGCTCGGGCTTACTCCTGGAGCTGACGAGCAAGAGGTGCGGCTGCTGTGGAATTCGAAGTACGGGAGGTCAAAACCATGAATGCCAGGGACGTCTACCATTCGGCCAGCCACCCCTCATCAAGCCAGTCAAGTCAAATGAGGAAGACGACCATCAGGGCTGTCCTACAAGCCAGGGCGACTCCAGAATCAGCTGCGAGTGCTGCGGCAAGCCTGGGAGGCTCAGAGCGGGCTGCAGCTGCGTGGGGGGCGGAGCCATGTACGCCGAAGGACCAGCGATCGGACGTCGAATTCTGTGCATCAGTCTACGGGGTATCTAGGGGGCAAACAGACATACCTCGCTTTTGACCACCCTCGCTTCTGAGAAGTACCAAGCGATGCCAAACTACGGCCTGCACTGGTTAGGCCGCTTGACGATGAGGCGCGTGGTATGACTTGGTTTTGCCTGGAAGCGAAAGCGGGGTAGGTAATTCACGCTCTGAGTATCCCAAGGTAAAGAAGAAGGAACAGAGCTCCTCGACACCGACCGCGAGTCCACGGCCACCTCCGAGACACCGTCGGAGGGCGGACTCGAGCTCACCCTCGCCACCGATGACGCCTCCGGGGCCACCGCACCTCCCACGGGCGAAGGTCGCTCCGACGGCGAGGAAGGCCCCCCCGCGGAAAAAGAAGGCGAAGGAGGAGGAGGAGGAGGAGGAGGTGGAGGTGGAGGAGGAGGAGGAGGAGGTCGAGGCAATGTCGGAGACCATAGACCTGGACAAGGTGACGGAAATGGGCATGGAGTTTCCTGGCTGGGACCCCGCGGAGGCGACGCTGACCGAGCACCTCGACCGGATCAAGAATAAGAGCGAGATAGCGACGGAGATTCCAGCGGACCAGGAAGGTGTGATACCTCCCGGAGGAGTGCTACAGCCTGGGGAACTGGCAGCAGCTCGTGACCCAGATGCTGGACGCGGCGAAGGAGCTGCAGAAGATTCATATGCGGGCGGCCATCCAAGCAGCAGTGCGGCGATAAAGCTTCACCAGTCTGAGGGAGCTGCACCACAGGCAGCCGTACGCGCTCATTGGCGGCATCGGCGCGTTCGAGCGCCAGGCAACGTTCGAGGCCCCGCAGATGCGCTGAGGAGGACGACCCGACCTGCTGGAGATCCGCGCTCCAGCCGAGTCCAGACCTGGGTCCCGCCGTCGAGAAGCTGGGCGGGAGGGCGACGAGGTTCCGCAACCACCACGAGTACGACCTCACGACCAGCACGGGCTGCCGACGTGCGACTCAGATGTTGGCGCTGGAGAGGCCGAGGCGAGACGTGCCCTCGCCGCCGTGCACTGCGCGGTCCGCCGTCCAGAACGGCAGCCGCGAAGACGCCAGGCAGAGCCGTGCGAGCGCCTGGAGGCCGAGCGGTGTGAGCACGACGAGGTGGCCACTCACGCAGGCTACTGGCTCACCAGGCCCTACGCTGAGGCGCAGAGGTGGATCTCGAGCACCCCCTGAAATGTGGAAGCTGGCCGAACGTAATATCCGAGGGTATCCTCCCTGGGATGCACGAGAACATCCTGCAAGCGCGAAGAATGCCGGGGTGCCCTCCCCGAACCGACCGCGATCTCATGCCTTGGCCCGACTGTATCTCAGGCGCCTCAGGGAGCAACATCTCACAGCGCGAGTGGACGGCCGTGCGTGCGGCGCGAAGGATCCCTCGACGAGGCAGCCGATCGGGAAGGAGTGGCCGATCGCGATGCCGGACCCTCACCTCAACACTACGCTGGGGCGCGCATGTTCGAGCAAGCGAAGCCACGTGCACAACCGTTACCGCGAACCGACTCAAGGAAAGAATTCCGTCGGGCTTGACTGGAGAGGACGACGCGCGAGAGGACATCAGACCTTTCCGAGGGCTACATTGCCATAGGAATGTAGAAGGCACGGGTCTCTAAAGACAGGACGCAAGGGTACCCTTGACTTGGCGGGGTCGACCTACTAATCAAGGTCGACTGCGCCGAGCCGACGGCAGTCTACCCGACCCTGATGTACAAGGAGTGGGCCGACACCACCAGGACGCATCCAGAGTGGTCTACCTGGTGTGCGTGGGCAGGGGGCGACCACAAGATGGCGGTGCAAGGGAAGTGCTTCGCAGTCAGGAAGAGGCTTGTTGGCAAGCAACCGCCGCCGCAGATCAAACGCCTGGAGTCCGACTTGGAGGCAGAGATCGACGTCGACCCGGAGTGCAAGTACGAATACTGGGAGCGTGACGGCGAAAACTTCACAACGTACCAGGGTACTGGTCCAGATGGGCTGGACTGGCCGAAGGTTGTACGACGCGTGGCGTGGGACGTGGTCGCCAATCAGCTGTTAGAGGACGAGCTTGGAGAGGAGATGCCCACCAACGAGGAGGTCCGTACTCCATTACCCGAAGGTGCGAGGCGTATTCGGACGCGCCTGTACTAACAGCGAGACGGCGACCAGCG